TCGATGGGCAGGACCGAGGCGCTGCGGCCCTTGCCACCCTCGCTTTGGACCCGCAGGGAAATAAAATAATATTCAGGAGATGGCAGCTCTTGTTCGGGGGTTTTTGAAATAAGAGCTCATCCTGGACTCGTGCGTGAATAAGACGCCTTATGCACCGGAGACGTGCAGTAAGCTTTCCCGTTCCCTGAATTAACCTGGGAACGTGAGACTGGCTGTTCTACTGTAACAAAAAGAAAGAAAAAAAGAAACAAAAAAAGGGAATAAGAAAAAAGAAAAAAGTATTTTCTGGCATTTTAAATGTGAAACAAAAGCTGACAAGGAGAGCGGATTTCAACAACTGCTATGGCAGAGACTGAATAATACCAGCCGGTTTGCTAAAATCTTTTAATTAATAGGGTTTATTTGTTGCTGAAACAAATCATGCGCTTCTGGATTTGGGAGCAGTCGGACTCCAGAGGGTGCTATACAAATACTGACAGTAAAGTTTCATCTTCTAAATAAATACATTAAACCTTGGAGGGCAAAGGACATCTGAGCAAATGAAGCTGTCTGTCACTGAGCGTGGCTTAAAGGAGAACAAAACCCCCAGAGAGAAGGTGGCAATCGAGAAACCAAGAGTCCGTCCGCACGTTATTCGTTTTACATGTAATTGCTTAGCCCACAACCCAGCGCAGAACGCAGCGGAAAGCGGAGAGACGGGAAATTCACAGGGGCCTCGGGAAGAAACGCAAGAAGCGCCCGCAAACGGCCCGCGAGCGAAGGGCGCGCAGCAAGCAGAGCGCGTTTGGTGTTAACACATTTTTCAGAGAACGGTAGCGTTTCCCCCCCACCCCAAAACTGGAAAACCGGCTCGTTCGGGAGGACAAGCCAGGGTTTCGCCCTCCGGCAGGAATGTGCGGGGCCTCCCCTGGCGGCGGGACGAGCTCGGTGACAGCCCGTGGGCTGGCCCCGCACCCCGGCGCCCCGTCCACCTCGGCTGCAGCTCTCCCAGCGCCGCTAAACAGTGGGTGGCAAAGCTCCGGCTGCAGGAAGCGCCTTTTTTCAGCAGGTCGGAGGCGTTCACCCCGAGGAGGGAGCCAAGACGAAATGGGCAACTGGGAGGTGGGAGCAAGGTCGCGGGGGATATCGGAGAGGAGCCGGACAACCCCCCGCCGGGGAGGTTAATCCCCGCGAAGGGCTGCTGGTGAAGCAGAAAGAGCGGCCAAAGGGCGGTTTAAACCAAGTTGTAAAATACACCCAGGCTGCCTTAATACGGCAAACTCCCTCTCTCGCCCACCTTTTTTGTAATTAGATACGTGCGAAAAGGCGATTCTGTCTCGCCCCCAGCCCCATCTCGCCTCCTTTGTCTGAGCTCAGGGCTTGTTTTGAAGGGGAATAATAATTAGACCGCTTTCCTCCCCTCCAGCAGCCCATGAGGTAATGTCACATCTCAAAACCGGTGTCACGTCTCGCTGCCGCTCTTAAAAAATCCCCCCGCGCAACCAGCGCGGAGCAGCGCGCTCGGCGTCGGGCTGATCGCTGCCGACGCTTAGGGTACGTGTAACCGCCCTGGGTTTTTTACCCAGGGACTTGAAGAGTATGTGTCACCCCGGTGGCTCCACAAGTCAGGAGGGGCGTTTGTAAACCAGCGGCTCCGGGCACCCGGGCTGGAGTCGAGGGCGAATTTCATTTAGCCTTACTGAGCTAAGACCATTCAAGTGATTTAGGCAATCAGCCGCCTTTTCCTTTGCGATTCTCCCGTATGATGGCTTCCTGGCTCTGTTAGCTACGATTGTATTAAATATCCTGTTACTATTATCCTTTTCGCTTAAGACCGGAATAAGTACTGCAAAGCATTTCAACCTTCTCACCATCTGTTATTTGTGCGCCCTTCTCCTTCCCTCGTTCCTCACGCGTCTAGCAAATGTCTACTGCAGCTATTCCTGCTTTTCGTTAAGACAGCCGAATACCTGCGCAGGGCGTTTTGCAAAAATTGTGCGGACAAAACCCTCCCGTTCTTGGAGTCGCAGTGTGCGCCTGCAACTCGGGGTGCGTTTTCTTCTCACTGCTCGGCTGCGTGCGCTGACCGGAGCAGGAGCAACACGTGGCGCATCTTTGCTGGGAATCACTTTCTGCCGTTCGGCAACCTGCACCACGCGCCCGGGTGACGCAGGGAATATTAATGTCCCTTTCAGGCCTCGGACCAGCAGCTACCTACTCACAGGAAAGGGAGGCCATGCCTCAGCTCCTCGAAGACATACGCCATTATGCAAAAATCTAACGGACTGATCGCTTAAAATGCTCGAGAAGTTTCTCGAACGCCTTCGGGAGCGACTCTGCAGCTGATTCAAACCTCAGCACAGCTGCTGGAGCTGCTCGGTTTTGCTCCAGCTGAGGATCCACAAACTCACGGCAGGCTGGTAACGCAGCCCGACGCCGCTGTGGTGCCTTGCACAGCTGGGGTGGCCTTACCCGTGCCAGCAACTGCTGGGAACAACTGCACGGGGACGGGATTTCTGGCAAGTCATGGGGGATAGCGGGGAGCAGTGATTTCTGAGAGCTGCTGCACGGCCTGGCTTCAAGGCACCTATTCCACTAGCACGGACGTTAGTGGCTGCGCTGGCCGGCGGTGTCTTCAGGGAGCCTGCATTCACAGGTGGGCTTCCTAAAAGCAGGGGGAAAACGTCTGACTTACCTTACCTTAACTGCCCAAACATTTGGGGTGAGATTCAGCTGTAGATTCAACTGCCTAAGTCGGTATATATATATATACACGCAAGTATCTACTTGCCAGGCAGCCATGTGTAAACTCACATTATACTTAACTGAGACCCAGTCGATGCACTTGACAGAGCTGCCTGAGCGATTCGGCTGCCCAAATTGCAGGTGTCCGCATTAAGATGTCCGCAACCCAAACTGGATGGGGATTATTTCTCCCACCTGGTGGAAATTTTTGCAAGCGTTTGCCCTGGGCGCTGTGCCTGGGAGGCCGCGCTCGCCGAAGCTGCTCGCCGCGAGGAAGGCTGAACGGTATCGTTGCGCCGCTATTGACTCGGAGAAATATGTGACCAACGCAATCTGCTATAGCTTGAAGTCGACCCATTTAGCCTTTCTCTGATAATCTCGTCACCTTCACACATAAATTATTCCCATCTTAGCAGGGAGGCCTGAGCTTGAGCAAACTAGATCACAAAACCCTTGAACGCTGAGTTTGGTGGTTTGCGCGAGGACGTTTACTTTGCTACACTTTTTGTGACATTTCTTCTCCTACTAACTACACGGGCGTTAGGATCACTTGCTTCCAAGTGGGCTTTATTCTGAGACCTTGTAATTCTCAGTTACAAAAACCTCTTCAATATCACATTAAAAATGATCTTTCCTACTCTCAAATCTCTTCTCCAGTAAAATCCTCGCAGGTATTCTCTAAAAGGGCTCTCAGTGTGCTCCCGCACAGGCTTGCGCTACGCCAGTTAGTTTTAAAAGGAAATATGTTTACTGCTACGGAGTCAAACTTCCTGCTCCTTAAATATTATACTGGAAAGCTCTCAAGATTTTTAACATTTTTGAAGCAACGCCTGGAGAGGTTAAAAAAATGTTTCCCTTCTGCCTTATAACTCATCTGTCTCTCTAGTTCCCAGTTCTTTCCTACAAAAGACCCTTTGTGCTACGGGCCTAAAGACATATCTGAGCTCGAAATGCAAACACAGGAGCTACAAGCTCCACATGAAGGCAGGGTTTCGCTCCAACAAGCTGCCGCTTCGGCTCTTTGTGCCTAATTCCACGAGATTTTTTAAAGCAGTTTTAAGGGGGGATATACTGGCTCCATCGGGGGCGGCGAAGGAGCTTTGCGCCGTCTCCCGGAAGAGGGGCCGCAGCCCAGCCAAGGGTCCAGCGCGGCCGCGCCAGGTCCTCCTCGGCCCGCCGGGGCCCGCCCTGCCTCGTCTTCCCCGGCACATCGCCCTGCCGGATGGGAAAAACGTTGCAAACTCCCAGTTTCCAAGCGTAACGCCAGTGGGGAACGGGCTGATTTGGGAAAACCGAAGCTGCTTGTCAGCAGTTTCTCCTCCCGGGGACGGAGCTGCCTCTTCTGAACCCCGCTTGATCAGTGCACTGCTTTGCTCCTCTCGGAAATATGCCCTTTTAGGCTATATTTTCACGGCGCTGCTGGGTAATTAGGGTACTTGCTGTGATGCATCCAAGCCCCGGGTATTACAAAGACTTGCTGCGTTCCCAGTCGCCTCTTGCACCTTCCTGCATCCAAGGTCACATCCAATCCCAACCTATTTCTTAATCACCCACATCGATTCCTTGCCCTTAGAGGAAACCAAAAGGTGTGTGGGGGGGAGCCTGTCAACTGAAAGCCTTATAATATCACGGGATAAACATGGGGAATAAAAGTGGGTTCCCCGGCGTGGGGCTCACATGGCGACTCCGCGGGAGGACGCTCCTTGCATAAATCTCATGCCTAGCACGACGAAAAGAGCAGTCCCTCCGTCTCCCTGAAATTAGGTTTCAACAAGACGTATTTACGGCAGCACAGCTGACTAAACACCGTAATGTCATCAGCGCCGCGCTGGGGGAACCGCTGCCCTGGTCACCAAACTGTTTGCGAGGCCGCACACGAGTAGGTATTTCCAGCAGTAATATGATGAGGGCTTTTTAAATAGACAGGAAGATAAATCATTAATACTTGGGGTTTATCTGATACTAAGGCTTAAGAAAGCCCTCGTTCTTGCCACGCACTTTATCTTGCTGGCTAGACGCTATCAAATAGACACCCTGAATTCCCCCAAAGGATGCTACAACGGTGACTGGCATTTCATTTCTGCTGATTACAGGCAGTCGCCTCCTCAAGCACCTGCA